AGTTCAAAGACATGGAAATGAAGGGAGGCCTTGGGGGCTGACCACTTATCTCAAATTTTTAGGTGACCCACGTGGGTTACTTACCATGGGGTGGAGGCATACATAACTAGTTTTCAATGGAAGAAACATGGAGAACAGAACTTGTTGCATCTGATTACAAGGGAGACCCTCTTGTCCATGTTGTCTCAGATAAACTGATTTCAGATAACTGATCTTTGTCTCAGATAAACTTTGCAGCAGTGAAAGGTAAAGTTTGGCAAGCTGTGTGATGTGTATATATGTGCCAGCACTTGACCTGGAACCTTCAAACAGGTTCTCACCTGTGTGATAGGCTGCCCTTGAAACTGTCATGTGATGTCTATCATAATGCGGCCCCTCTGAGACAGGTATGCTCCCAACAATTTGATGCTGTGTGTTTGGTGTCAATGTGGATTTGATGCTTTGCTTTTGGCGTCATTGTTGATTTGTCCTTGTTGACCCTGTATGCCAAAAAGATCTAGCCTTTGGGTCTTTTTACCTGGAAGTGGATCTTTCCTGTTGCCTGGGATCCATGGGTGGAATGCTAGAAGAAGTTCATGTAATCCTTAGCCAGCACCTGATATCTCCTGTCTGCATATGTGAAGGTCCTAGAGATGGATACGGGGTGTGCCATATGAGTTTTGTGGGTTCCAAAAGCCCTTTGTCAATAGGAAAGGCTGTCCTACCAGATGATGAGAGTTGGAGGATATCCAGTTGTTTGTTTTTTTTCTTGAATTATCTTGAGAGGCATACCCAAAGTCTCCTCAAGAGATCTTAAAATGCCTTAATTCATCCGAGAAGGCAGTGGAAGAAAAGTTAGTTGTCTCCTTTGGTGATGAGGATGAGATGGCCAGTAGTCAGAGGAGAGATTATCTCTGCTGGGCTCTTATTCTTCCTCCATATGTTGTTGACACATTAGGGTTGATACTAGAGCCGGCTGTAGTACCTGTTTTGGAGAAGGCTGCCTTGGTCTGGAGACAGCAGAAGAAGCTGGTTTCTTGACATAGGGACTGATACCTCAAGGTGACATGGGACCAAGACAAGTAGGAATACTGCGGGAAAGGAGGGCACACTAGCTTGACAGTTCCCTTCTGGAACCTGTGGACTCATGGGTGCGTCTCAGGGATTCCATCTTCTATTGTCTGTGTCCAGGGAGTTATTCATGGTAGACATAAATCTCATTCCAGGGAAGATGATCTGCGGTGTTCCCCAAAGGAGGCCAAAAAGGTGAAGTCATCTTCCATAGACAGGGCATCCCCTGTCAAGTCTATGCCCACCACCATCACGTTGAAAGAGGGACCCATTATATTTATTGCCTCCCTCAGTCTGTCCACGATTAGAGACTCTGATACTGGCCCCATCACAAAGTCTGCAGCCACTAAGAAGTGCGGTGGTGTGAGTAAAGCTTTTGGTACTGAAGAGTTGGTCAGTGCCAAATGAGCGACTGGCATCACTGAGGTCACTGCCAATGAGCCTGGTTTGGGTTTCCTCAGCATTGCAGTCATCATCCTGAAGTCATCTGTGGCTGGCGTACGTGTGTCAGTCCCCTAAGCAGTACTGGAATTAGTGTAGTGCTTACGGTGAGAAGCGATCTGTGTTGGTTTCACCATGGAGTTCAGCAAGGCCAGCTTTGTGGCTCTGAGAAGGCACCTAAGGGAAGGGTTTCTTGGGACCTTCTGCTGAGCAGAGCAGAACAGCAAGGTTTCTGGTAGTCCCTTGAGGTTGGGATGGTGTCGTGGCTCACCAGGGCACTGGAGGAGTGTAAGTGACCTGAAGGTGGTGATCTCTCCAGTTGTTTCACAGGGTCAGTTGAAGCTTGTACAGACCTCTCCGGAAGATGAAGCTTCAGTCACCCTTCTGTCTCTCAAAGTGTGCTTGGAAAATGTCCTGCACGTGGCCATCTCCTAGGCAGAGAAGGCATCTCAGGTGGCCGTCATTGATGGGCATTGTGGTATCACACAATGAGCAGATCTTAAGTTCTGGAGACTTGCTTTTGGCCATTTTAGGCTGTGTATAGGAGGAGGAAGGAGACTATCTTGGGCCTTGTACATGGGGTTGTGGAGGCAAGAACCATTAATCTTATTAAAATGACAATAGAGAAGTCTTAGTTTTTCAATCCATCCTTTTTTCTTAATGATCTAAGAACTATAATGACTAGAATAACAACAGGTCTACAGATCTAAGTGGTGGAACTGCCAGATTCTGTGTCTCAGCCACAGGTGGTAAAAAGGAACTGAAATGCAGTTGAGGCCACCTCACCTCTGACACCCTCATTACAAGGGCTCCCAAGGCACAGGTGTGGTCCCAGTGCATGCTGCTATTTCAAAAGAATCTGCTCTGGCACGTATGGGCCATATACGCACCAATGGTGGAATCTGTGCGGACAGTCACTCAAACAAAATGTTCTGGCAGTTCAAGTCTTCCCCAATGTTGATGCTAAATCACGCTCCTACTTATAAGTACGTAAATTAAGGAGCACTTTAAATGCTTCAGGGCTAATTTCACACACAAGAAAAAGTGGAGACATTTTTTCAGATACCTTGTCTAGAAGCAGTGAATGTATGAGGCTTAGCAGATTATGCGTTTTTGAAAATAGTTTTATGTTCAACAAGATGATAGAGCCAGCAGCAACCACAGTGCAGGCAGATACACTTGGCGATCTGTTTTGTTTTTGTTTTTGGGGTTTTTTTTTGCTTGCTCTCAAATTGGTAAACAGCAGTGGACACACCAAACGATACTCGAGCAAAGCACTGCAATAAACATTCCTGATTTTTTGATTGGTCCCTAGTTTTGGACTGTCTTAATCTATGTAAACAATATAATTTTGTATCTATAATTTTAAAGACCTCTGTTGCATCACATTAAAGCCTCAGTTCCTCCTAACTTAGCCTCTTGAGACCTTTATTGCCCTACACTGCACATTCTCAAGGGCAATATAATTTTCCTGTGCTAAGGTTACTAATACAGATCACAGGATTCCAGGTAACTAGCTTCAGTACAAAGCAAAGATTTCATTTATTCTTCAGAGGCCAAGCCCTGGCACAAAGGTTAAGTAAGCAGATTGTGGCAGGGGATCTTCACAGGGACCATGAAGAACTAATCTTCCCTCCCAGGATGTGACGCATTAGTGCACCCTCTCCCCAAACGCTGCAGCTCACGGGCTCTAGTCACAAGTGGGGTTTGCCCCATGGAGCCACATCTAGACAGAAATAACTACAGCTAAAGAAAGTAATACACAGGATTTGATATAAAAGAAAACAGATCTCCTTCCTGTCTGAAGAGGAAGATAAGAAACATCCACCTCAGTAAATGTAGGTGCAGAATATGGATTTTGTCAATGGTTACTGTTTGTTGTAGTAGTGTTCTGTTGTAAGGTTGAGGAAAAAAAGGAGAGAATGTGAGATTTGCTGTTACTTGCAGGGACATATTTGTAATCACATTTGTTTACAAAATAGGACGTGTACATCAGAGCAGGCACTGACTTGACAGGATAAAGCGTCACAGATTTGCACTGTGCATAGTGCCCTCATGTGGATTTTAGTGTATAGTTACATTTGCAGATTCATTAAATTTTATATGATAATTATATGACAGATGTGGTAGCTGCATTAAGACTCTGGCAAGAACTGTCCAGTACAATCCCATGTGTTAACCCAGACGGAACTCCAGCATCCTCATCAAACCCAAAATTCTGTATTTGTGATTTGACCTGAATTGAGACAGAGCTCAGCAAAATTCATCTTAAAAATGAATTTTATGTTGGCAAAAGGTGGCAGAGAGGAGTGTGCTGCAATTTTTCAGTTCTCTGAGAACTTATTTCCATGGTGCTTTATCCCCCACCTGTAGGGATGTAAATTGTAGTCGACACTCACATGCCATACACTAACTGCATGACATGCACTAAAAGTTCTCTAATGTGTGTTAATGTAATCCCATTTCAAACAGTAGTTAATGTGCACTAGGGAACTTTTAATGCATGTCACAGGGTTCAAATGGACCAGTTAGTGCACTACATGTTAATGTGGACTAAATTTTACACCACTCTGTTGCAGACTGAAGCACTGTGTACGCAAGCCCGAACACTACCGAAAACACCACCACAAACTGCAGCTGTGCCTCTGGAATGTGAACAACTGACCACTAAAAACTGTACTGAATCCCCCAAGTCTTTTCTCACAGGCTACTTACCAGGAGAGAATAACAGCTTGTGGTCAGTGGAATGGATTCCTACCCCACACACAGGGGAAACACTGTACATTCCAGTGCCAAAGTCTGAAGGTTACAGTCCCTTCCCTCTGCCCTGCAAACCCATTTCTTTACTGATAGTGTTGTTGTCCAGGATGAGTGGATATTTAAACAGGGAATGTAAGCTAAAGAATTTGCGTGTGTTTAAGTATAAAAGGCAAAGAGGAAACCACAAAACGTACTGGTGGCTACTGATGATATACATCAGAAGCTATCTACATATTCCACTTGGGGGATTTCACTGGCACAAGTTAAAAAATGCCACAAACAGCTGCAAAAAACTGAAACACTTTCGGCATGGTAAAACCACGTTAGTAACAATGTACTGTCTCAATGCAAATCTTCCTGTGAGCCAGATGGTGAGGCAGCAGCAGCGAAAAAGATGGGTGGAAACTTCTCAGAATGAGGTTTTGGGTCTCCGGCCTTGCTACATCTTCTAATGTTGCAGTACATTCAAAGGGCCTGATTCTGATCTGGGGTAGAAGACTTTTATCCCAGTGTAACTCCACTTTCTTCAGTAAAGTTACTGCACTTTTTACTGGTGTAAATGAGATGTCTGGACCTCTGAATGCTAGAATGCATTATTTGCAATACTAGTCTGCAATGAAAAACAATTTGTACAGTCATTTCTTATGTGAGTTGAGGTTACTTGTTCATAATGACGGGACTAATAATCAGATCAGTGGCGAATGGTAAATTAATTTTTTTATTAATAGTAAATGGGACTGGTACATGAAATTACTTTCTGACAAACACAGTGTAGGAAGGTGTCCAGTTTACTAACTAAGGGAATTCCGAGTGGAGGCTGTATAGGCGATGTCTTACAGTAAGTGAACACACTGTTAGAAAAGTTAGAACAATGATTGTGTCTAATGGACCATTGTTTCAGTAATCAGTATTCGTGTATCAGTTTTGACGTGAGATCACGTTTGACACAAAACATCATTAAATATCAAGGATTATTGAAATCAGAAAATTCACAAAAGAAAGAAAAAATAGCTATGGCTAATCATCAGTTTAAAAGTACATTTCCTTATCTCGCTCGCTTAAAATCATCTTGTTTCTGTTTCGTCTTAAAGCCAGCTGTGGTACAGCAATGCAATTGGATGCTGTAATATAAAACTCCAATAGCACAACTGTTCCTCTGAAAGCATTTGTTATCCACTCTCACTGGAATGTTGCCAAGCAAATAATCTAAAATTAAGCTTAAAACTGATCATTTAACAACAAATATTACATGAACCCTTTTTTAATCTAACAAACTCCCTATACCCAGATAACTGATTTTATGCCAAGGAATCTCTAGCACTATCATCAGCTGGAACACAGCTGTGTTGGAGGCTCTGGTCTGATCTGATGGTAGGATATCTTCTCTTCCAGCTTCATTAAGATGCAGATAGGGGGTTTCCCTGCAGCTGGATCAGATGAAATAGGTAGGCACTGGATTTTTCCATTAGCCATTTGAAAGCCCACGCATTTGTTGTTTCTGCAAAGTCTCTTAACAAATAAAACCTATGAGCAGTTAAAGTTTTGCTTTAGTAGGTTATCAGATGGAATGGCAAGAAACTGTTATCATAAAAGTCTAGAGAAAAGAAGCGCTCATGCCCAGCATTACTTTAGATTACAAGGTGGTGTTGAAAATGAAGAAGGAAATTGAACTGGAACTGAAACTAAAGCACTGCCAACATGTATACATTTTCTGATCATTTCATCTAATTAAGTTATTAGCACAGAATCCTGAGCTACAATAATGCCACAGCATGTCAGGCTACTGCCTCCAAAGTTAAGGAACACGATCCAAGAATAGCACAGAGAACATACCATCTAGAGGAAGATTCTGAAGACATTCCAGGGATTTTCTCCACTGGTGGTAGCACTGACCAGACTACACAGATTTCCCAGACATTGGTAGCATTCAAACATCCATTTTAGACAAGCCAAAATGATCAAGAGTTCAACATGAAGTGCCATAATTCATGACGGAAATTCTTAAACTAATTTTTTTTGCAAAATAGGCAGATTTTCTTCTGACATTCAATATAAACTGTGATCTGGACATCTGACACCTGTAAAATTACCAAGTTCCATCAGTGCCTATTTAAAGAAAAATGAACATTTTAACTAGTGCTTGCCTATCCTTGAAGTATCACTCCCTGAAATACAATTTTTTCCCCTGTAATATCTCTATTCTTTTCTTTAAAAAAAACCTGTTTCATTCTCTTCAGAACAAAACTGCAAGTGGCTGACTGGCTCTGGCCAACTTTTCTATTTGTGTCATTGATATGCAAACCAGCCATCTGGTTTACTCTGTATGTCATGTAAATATGTGTATCTTATTTTTCTCCCTATATATTCAGGAGCTTGCCATAACTTCGTAGGATTCGGTCTGACTATTCTTTGTAAGGATATTGTCCCAATCTAAGCTATTGTACTTGTCTCTCTTTTGGGCCTTGAATCAAGAAAGCATCTCTGTTCCAGACAGCACTTAAGCAAGTGGTTAAAGTTAAGCACATGCTTAAATCCCACTGAAGTAGATGGAAGTTCAGCACATGCTTAAAGTTCAACACATGTTCCTCAGGTGTTTTCCTGAATTGAAACCCTTCAAGCCTTGATATTTGTTTTGAGTATAGTGCCAACCATACTGTCAACTCTTGCTAATCCGTACTATAATTGTTTATTAATCATTGCCTCCACAGGTGTAACCTCAAATTAGCACTAATTGGCTTTCTTTATATTCTCTTCAAGAGCAATGTCTAGTGTCAAATTCTCCTTTGAGTGACAGCACTGCAAGTTCACTGACAACAATGCAGTTACACCAGTGTAAATCAGACAAAAATATAGCTCCCTATATCTAATCAGTTTCCATTACGTTCCTGACTAATTCCTGTAGTACATGATCACTACCATGTGGACCTTCTCTTCTATGCAAAACATTCAGTTTCACCCATCTGTGTAAACTAAACAGCTATCACTATAGTTTTCACCAGCAGACTGGTGGTGTTCAATGGGAATATATGGTAGTTCTGATATTCAAACAGCTTTCCTCCAACCCTGTATTTGTCTGATTCAGCTTTCACCACTACAATAAGAAGTAGTAGCAAGAGGCTGGCAGTGCATAGACGGTGGACAAAAAATTCATTCTTAAGGAAAAGTGCCTCTCTGTGATAAATTATTTGATCTGTTGGAGCTGTTACTGCAGTGCAAGGATACTGTTGTCAATTCCTGTCCTTATACATGTTTTGTCATAACTTTCCCACACTTTAATAGCTTCTTTCCTAAAGGTGTTCTTTTAAAACCTTGAGTGGGTATTAAGATTGAGTAGAAAGTCTCCATTCCTCTTACTTGGTTTATATGCACAGAAGAAATCTTATATGAGCTGAGTCCTGAGCATACATTATAACCTGTCAGTCATTTAAAGACTCTGTTTTAAGAGGTAAATTCAGTTTTATTTTATATCACTTCAGTGATATTTATGACTATTTTTAATATGGGATTCTGTTCCCAAATTCACTGCTGGTGTAACTGGTTTAACTCTAGAGACTGGAAATGTACTTCTCTGGACAACACATTTTATGTTTAATCTAAAAATTAATGCAATCATAATATTTTTCTTGACAGGTGAATAGAAAATTTTCCTGTTTTATATTTACTAGCAAAAGAAATTTGCAGCTGATCAGTTGTATTCCTATTGTATAATTCAGGGAAAGGCATCACTGCAGAATGGCAGGGTTGTACTGTATCTGGTGAGCACCCCGGATTACCTGATCCTCCCACATTCACCCTATGGTGCACTTGCATTTTTAAAAACCAAACCCTAATAACTACCACATTCTTAGTGTCATTGTGACCTTCAAGTTTAATTTTTATTAAAACAAAATAAGTTAAGAATATAAAGGAACAGAATTTTTTTTAAAAAATATACAAATAAGTCAGTTGTATCATTCTTATCAACATTCAACAAACAAATAGTATTTCAGGTACTATATATTGCATATTCAACAAAAATATGCAATTACAATATGCAACTTACATGGCCAGCCAGTCCCCCAGTGTTCATACCTTTCATGCTACTTAACTTCCCAAAACAGGAATTTCATACCCATATTTGCTAGTCTTTAGTATAAACCTTCCCATCTTAATACACTATTTGGCCTTCTCATGTCCCTGTTCCATACATGGAAATCCCATTGAAATTAAGAGCAGTTTTGCATAAAGTTTATTTACAGAATAGGGCTCCACTATCCACTTAGTCTCTGACCTATAAGCTTATAAAGGCATAATTCTGATTTCATTTACACTCCTGAAAATCAGAAACTAACTCTTCTAAAGTGTATGGAGTTAATGCTAGTGTTATAAAACCAGCATATAAGAAGTGAGATCAGAATAAGGTCCCAGAGTTTCACAGAAGTAAAAGGGGAAGATAGCTAATGTTCATTTTTAGTAAAGCAATACATCCATTCTTCCATGCAATCATGATCCCAAATCCTGGAGGAACCCTACTGAAATCTCTCTGATTTTGGAAATGAATATGGTAGTATTTTTATAAGGAACAAATAAAGACTTTGTAGGTTATTCTTTATTCTGTGTGCTTTACTGCTGACAAAGAAAAAATCCTGCTAACCCCATTAACCTTTTTCAACACAAGGGCACTAGCATTTATAATTAGAAATCAGTATAGCACTCTGATCATGATATCAATTTACCTAACAGTAAAAATATATACCAACATAATTTGATGCTAAATAAAAAGCTCTCTGCAGGGCAAATTGGAACTATGGTCACTTTCATAATGCATATGAGTGTAAAGGGATGACATAGAGCTTAGCATTTGGTTCCATTTGTGTGTATCCACAGAAGGGTTGCCATTCTGGCACTTTTCATTCACTTCTTACAATATGCATATGTTTCTCTGACATACATAGATAGTACACTAGACCTGTTTATGACTAGGACCCATACAGCCTCACTTGTGCATGATTGCATGATTATTCTTTCCTTAAAGTACATGCAATTATGACTATCACATGAAAGTTAATCCATAAAATCCTGTATATGAGTCCATATCATACAAAAACTCATAGCAAAGGTAAGTATAAAATTTGACTCTAGTACAGCAGTGCAATGATTTCAAACTTTCTCTGTCAGTTTAAACTAGCTTTCTAGTGAATGGTAAGTGTATCTGGTATTTTACTGACTGGAGATGTTTTCATGTAAACAAAGTAAATGTTGGGTTTCAAAGCAGAAGTTGATTTACATTTGGGCTAAACTTCAGAACAAAATAAAACAAAACAGTGTAACTTGCTTTTAGAGCACAATCCGAAAATCTGATCAGAGAAAATCTCTGTGTTAAAAATCTCATTACAAAGAAACATTGACATTACCTATTTACACCCCAATTCCTCAAAGTAGAGCTAAAGAATAAAATATTTCAGTAGATCTCAGCAGAAAAGGCACAAAACACAAAGCAGGGCATGCTTGTGTCATTTTGTCACAAAGAAGCATTGACCATTGTACAACATGGAAAAATTCAGTATTTGTGTGACATCTCTCAATATCATAGATACATGGGGGATATATCTTCCTCCCAATGTACATACATAACTTCCAGCAAAGCTGGAAATAATTACTAAAAAGGGTAGCACAGGGATGAAAATATACCCAATGGTTTGTTACAATCTACACCTCAGCTTATGCATTAAGGAGGCTGATAGCTGTTTTATCATTATTGGTAAACAAATACACTGCAGTGTCTTTATAATACAGTCTCTGTGAACTGGGGATTGTGGGTGTTATGTGGGATTGATGAGGTTTAGTGGAGTTGGGAACCACCTTGTGCATTTAAATATATAATTTAACTGCTTCCTTGCTCCATACAAAAGCATTAAAATACGTAAAAGAAGCCTGAGTCCTTGCAAAGAAGAACGGTTGTTCTTAGAAGAGAACTTTGCCTATACTGTGCAGGAATGGCTATTCTGATGTTAAGGTGCTTCAAAAAGGCAGATCAATGATCTACAATTTCCAAGGCATTTCTCTCTATAATGCACCGTCATACATCCATCTGCTGTGGCAGTGTCCTGTTTGCTATATTTCTATAACTAGCCTGTCTTCATCATCACTGCTTGTGTCAGTGTATTCCACTCGGGTTTGTTTCCTTATCATCTCTAAACCTCTTGTTTTGTACGTTTTGGAAGGTGTTTCAGAGCTAGCTGTGGACTCTGTGGGACTGAAGGGAAATGAGGGCTCTTTAAAAGTATTAGTGCCAGTTTCATTAAGTGTTCCATGGCCATCTGATTGTAAGCAGGCTCCATTCTTGTCCACGCATCCATGAGGACTGGTATCAGAAGAGTTTATCCCCTGTATATTAGCTGTGCTAGGTAAGCTAGTACTTGCGATTGATGTCTCAGGAAGGGTGTTTACCTTTGATCCCAATGAAGCTGAACACACAGTTTTGGAACTAGGATTAAGTTTGTCCTTCAGAGCTGAGTAAGAATTTCCTTCCATTGGATGTTCCTCCTTTCCTGAGGTCTGGATCAATGGGTATAATGCAGTAAAAGTTTGACCTTGTGAGTCTACATTGAGTATATTTTTGTGGTTAGCTTCTGGACATAAGAAAAAAGGAGCAGTAACCTCTGAACCCATACTCACATGCTGGCAGCATGTGCCAGTGCCTACAAAATCAAAAGGAAAAGACCAAAGAGAGGACTCCACAGGGTCAGAATGAGCATTTGGCTGTGACTCCACTGGAAATGATTTCTGAAGCATGAGAGGTTGAGCCATTAAACAGCAGATGTTCAGATCATTGTTTGTTTCTCGCATGGCTGCTTTAGCTGGTGATGAACACGAGCATGTTACCATAGGTAATCCTGGAGTTGCATTAAAGTTCTGAAGAAAGAAATTGCCTCTTGAGTGTTTCTCAGTTGGTCTAGTAACATCCTGCAGCAGATGTGGGCAGGGGGGAAGGATCGGGAAGGAAATGAATTTCAATTTACATTAAAATTTTCAATCCAAAGCAATTTCATCCTTTGTAAAGAGAATGAAATAACAATTATGTTGACTATATCCACATGACTATAAGACTGTTTATATTGGGTATAACTCTGTTGAGATCAACTGAGTTATACAGGCATAAATGTGGTCCTTCATCTCTACAATTGTGATTATATTTGCTTTCCTTTTTGTCATAACTACAAGACAAAGTATTCATCCCTCCAGTGATTGCTAATTTCTAATAAATGAGGTAAATTACTTGTGCATTTCTCCACTATTGGTTAGTTGTTGAAGGTTTTTTTGTTGGTTGTTGGTGTGTCTGTGTGTATTTTGTTTTTTGCTTTTTAGCTAGGTGATAGCTTATGGCTGAAATAGGGGGTTGCTGACTAACTGCATGGTTACATGGTGTCCGGTTGATTTTCTTTATGTTGAAATACTATGTACACATTGCAAGGGAGTGTGTATAACTGAAGCATTAAGGAGCTAAAAACACAGGGTTTATTATGTTGTTTGTGAGCAGTATAGAAATACCAAGGTGGGTGTGCATCTACAGCAAAGTTGGTTTGTTGAGGAGCATCTGAAGAGTTAGATTCCTAAATATGAGAATTAATTTTCATAAAAATGTAATTTTACAATAGTAATTTATACTAATATATTCAAAACTCATATAGTAGCTGTGACAGTGAGAGAAATGCCATTTCAAGTTATGTTATTTTCATTGCAAAAACATTCTAAATTCAGTGATTTTGAATGTTTTTGCAGCCACGTTACCTTACCATCTTTGCAGCATTTGTAAAAACACAAAATCTGAGAAGCAAATAAATGGGAAAAAATTAAACTGCAGAAGCTTTCAAATAACAATAGGGTGAAATTGAAGTTTTCTAAAATCAGTGTCGTCATCTGTGTATTTAACAAAGAATTACAGGTAAAACACCTACTTTTCCATCCAGTTTGCCTTTTTGCCTGAATTTGCTTGGATGCCCAGCTGGTGAAAATATTCCTGAGTTATTTTTGTGATTCCTGTCTTCTTTCTTATGAATATTCCCTTTGGACACTGGCTTGTCTGAGGTGGGGCAAGATAGCTCCTCCTGCTGGGGGAGATAATTATCTGTTGGGAAAGAGATGATTTAGAGAGATTTTTAAGGTTAGATACAGTGCTCAATGAGTTTTCCATAAACCTTTTTTTTTTCTTTTTTTTATATCTATGGACAGATTTTGACTTCTTAAATTGTTGTATCGAATTAATTCTGAACATGATTTATCCTAATGTACTTTCACCTCTGGATTCCTTGCAAACTGTTCGCAGCTGTGTTGAGTAGTTGCTATTTGTAATCTGCTATTCAAGCTGAGTGACTTTTCATGAATATTCCTGAGTGAATCTTCTTCAGCCCTTCTTTTCAATTAACATTCTTGTGAGCAAAATTTTGCATGTACATATCTTCATGGGAAGCAACTTAAAGGTCTCGTGAATACCAGTGAAGCAAATTTTGAAGTTTTGATTCCAATAAAAGATCTTAAATACTTTTTTCTTCAGAATTTGCTTACCTTTCTATCCTTCATGTATCTTTATACAAAAATTTAAATGATAGAGGCCGGGGGGTGAGGTAGTGGGGGAGAAGGGTAGAAGGAGATGTGTTAATAAGAACAAGGGAGTAGGAAAAGAAGTTAGGGAAGAAATGTTAATGAGATACAAAACTGCAAGCCAAGGGAATGGCCAGAAAGTATCTGAACTTCAAATTTCAGAATGGAAAAGGGACCGAACTGGAAGGACCTACTACAGTTAAGTTGCTTTGCCACATTGCAGTGGCAAGTAGTAATTGCAGTGTTGTTGTACCCCTGTTGGTCGCAGGCTATAAAACAGACAAGCTGGGTGAGTGAGGTAATATCTTTGATTGGACCAGCTTCTGTTGGTGAAAGAGACAGGATTTTGAGCTTACACAGAGCTCTTCCTCAGGGAGTACTGGCAGAATCCATCATAAGAAACAGCCAGCTCTTGTATATTGCAACTATACCAGCTCATATCTCCCAGGTTACTAGCATTAAGTAGCTAACTAATTAGATAAATTAGATAAATGGAGAGGATCAGGGTGAGGTACAAATAGTCAAAAAAGACAGCAAATGATTCTTCTGTTGATTGGAATTATATGCTAATTCGCCTTTTATTGCACTGCACACTGCTGCTACGTGCTATTGCTGATCACAAAAGGGATAAGTCAGTAGAGCTGGCTGGAAGTTGGAATGCCTTCCTGCAAGAAGTTTCCAATTTTTGAAAAAATGTTTTGTCCCAGGTCATGATGAAACTCAAAATGAACATTTTTCACAGAAAGGGATTTCTAGACAAACTCAATTTGGGGGAAAACAACAGTGGAATTTTTCAGCTTGCTGGCGCCTGCCTGGAAGGCTCTTGTAAACTTTGTTTTCAGAAAGTGAGCTTGACAAGAGCCTTCCGGGTGGGCTGACAGAGAGCTGGGGTGCTCAGCCCTAGCCTGGGGGGAGACAGGGAGGCTAAGCACAGGGCTCTCAGCCACTGGTAGCTGGGCAGGCTGAGAGCTGGGAAGGCAGTCACAGTGCTCAGCCTCTGGCAGATTACCTGCAAGGCTCTTGTCCATTTCATTTTCTGCCTGCAGGGAGAAAATGAAATTGACTAGACGTTGGAAGAAGGCAGTGGGGAGCTATCATTTTGAAATGTTTTAAAATATTTTACTACAGATCACTCTGTTTACCTACCAATGTGATCATACATCAACCTCATAAACTTCCCTGATTTCAGCACCATGGTCAACACTAATTTCCTATTACAAATGAGACATACACCTACTTATCACAAATAATGGCCCAGATTTTCAACCCTGTGAGCTATACTTAGATATGGATTTTGTGCCTTAAGGCAGAGCCCTGAACAAGATACCACCCAGGCAATAGACCCACAAGGCACAATTCCTCCATGCCTCTTGTGCTGGAAGTATAATCTTGCTTGGTGTTAGGCAAATGTGCATGTGGGAAATGTGGGCCTTATCCCTTGCATGGCTGTGTAACATGAGGGAACAGTCTAACCAATCTAATGAGTAGAGAGAGATTGGCTGATTTACAATAAGGGGCTCTCTCTATGTTTATGTTCAGTTCGCATGTGCAACTTTTCTTGTATCAAAACCTTGTCTCTGCTTCCATTCTTTCTGTGTTCATAAATAGTATTTGACTTGAGAGGAATTGTGCCCAGAATCAGCAGTGCGGCTCATCCATAAAATTCAGCACAGAATGCCAGCAAATTTCTGGAGTACTCTCTTTACTTTACATACATATGGCACTTAAACCAGAATACATAAGCTACTAAAACCCCTCAATCCATATTTTTATTTATTTGAATAAGTACTACAAGGTTAATTTATTATGCAATAGAATTATAGAATCTTTTAACAGAAAAACAGAAATGTTCAAAAATATTTTTACTGCAAAATATAACAGTGCAGCACAGCAAATAAACTATAAATCTGCTGTGTCAACAATTAGACATGATTATGATTTCTAATAACAGAATTAGTGATTTTTTTCAACCATATTTGAGTTGTACAATTTCTCTGTCTCCTATATATAGATATATACAATTTGTATTTTATTTATAACTTGATAATTCAGAGCACTTTATTTACAGTCTGCTGAGCCCAGATATTGCAGGCAGCAGGGCTGGTGATTTAAGAGGAAGCACTCTTCTGAATCAATACTGAAGTTCTGAACCAGGATGCTGAGGCCCCTTTTTCAGATCAAAAGTAAAATCAAGATTCATGTCATCACTAAACAGGTTGATGTGTTTCACTCCAGAAGTGGCTTCATTTCAGGTTCTTTCTGTACCTCACAATGTATTAAGAAACCGAATTATTAATTTTTGTCAAGCACTTCAAATGAACACTGCCATAGAAGAACAAAGTTATTGTTATGTCCATTTATTAATTTGAACTATCATAAATTCCTTTATTTCAGGAATAACAATATAAAACTGACTGATATAAATTATTGTATAAATATAAACTTATTGTGTATTTGAGGATACCACTAACTCTTGTGCAGTCCACCCCTATGAAGAACTGTAGACTACTTGGGCACTTCCATGAAGGATAGCTGTACCTAGTGACTCAGAGATCTCATCAGTTGTTCCAGTCATCAGGAGATGGGTGGCAGTGAAAGGAGACCCACTGTCTACAACTGTACCTGTTCTATAGACAAAGTTTTTTTTCCCTAGGGCTGGCACCAGGCATGTTTATTATCAAATAATACATTTTCCCAGTATCTAGCTTCTCTTACAAAGGTATAGGCAGATGGGGATTTTGAAAAGTTGGGCCCTGATTTGCTTTGATGGTCATAAGAACATCATTGCAAAGGGAGGAAATACAATATTTGCAACCATATATGAAACATAATATGTATCAGATAAATTGGTTTATATTAAAAATTAATAAAAGAATATTACACGCTTGCAAACATGAATAGGTGAGTTATCCTTACCTTGCAATTTTGACGCAGGAGAGTGGCATTTCTTGCATTGATTAAGGCTATCATGTGTGTGGAGCAGCTGATGCTTTTTCAGAGAATCTAGTGTCCTGTTTGGAAGCCAGTGTTGCTTGCTCAGCTTGTTAGTTTTCAGCTGACTATATCCGTGCATGTGGTTCCCTTTGGACCTGCATTGTAAAATATACCATTTTCAGTGAAAACACAAACAGATATGTTGTAAGTAGTTGCTATTTAAAAGTAGCCTTAGTAGAGTATTATCACAACTTCACTGGAATTCCACTGGGGCTGAAACTGGCTTATAGAAGGTACGACTATAATGAATAAAGGAAATGTTACTTTTATGTATGCCACAAAAAATCCTGTATTAGAGAGCCTTAGTAGCAATGGGCAAAATCCTGAAGTTCTTAATTTTACTGGAGTTGGTGGAAGCTTTGGCTGAATAGGACTGTGTAAAAATTGAGTAAAGACTTCAAACCTTGGTGCATCGAAAGGAAAGGGCTGTGTACTCTGCAGGAAATCCACAGATTTTGCATCCAGGCAAGATATCAAAACAAGATCATACCTCAAGGACCAGGGTCACACAAGGACACATGTACTTGTCTGCAAGTGGCCTCTGGCTCAATTTCTTATGTGCTACTGTTTGCTTATCACTACTAAAGAACATAAATATTTCAAGGACTTAGATCAAGGAGTTTGAGTTCTCTGGTTTTTGCTTTGAAGTGACAAAAGCCTATTAGTTAAGTTTACACATCAGAAGATGTCTCCTTGGGAATGCTGATGAAGAAATACTCACCTAGCTTCCAAAATATGACAGCACCTCACATCTGTGTGAGTCATAATGAGTGGGACTTTCAAATGTACCTTAGAACGTCACTGAAAGTCAGTGGGAGATGTGGTCTTAAATCACTTCAGGTTTGGCTCCACTGTAGTAAAACACCCATGGCTGGCCTATCTCAGCTGACAGGCTCACAAGGTTCAGGCTGCCGGGCTATAAAATTGCAGTGTAGATGTTTGGGCTCAGGCTAACGGAAGGGTCTCAGAATCTGGGCTTGCGTGGGATTCAGCATCAAGAACAAGGCTTTGTAAGTGCCAAATTTTTAGCCAGCCCATAGATTTACATGAACATTTCTGTGTGTAAAAACAAACAAACTTGCATTTGTGTGCCTGGTTTGGGCAACTAGCTCCCTAAATGTGCGATCCATGCATTCAAATGACTATCTGCCATGTAAAATGAGGGCACTCAGTTATTTTTTGAAAAATAAGTGCACAGATTCAGAGGTCAGGACAAAAAGTCTGGCCCTAAAGGAATGTGACTAGACTATTTAGATGGCACAGGTCAGCTCTTAGTTCTCTGTTTTTATTATTCTCTCCTTGGCTGTAGCTTAAGCCAATATATGGTCCCATTTTTGCTTGTCTCTTTAAGGCATTTGGCTCATTGAGCTGCTTTCTCTATGCTCAGCCTGCTTTTTTGCTTAACAAGTGAAATCTTTTTTTCAGAATCACTGGGCCTCAGACAAGAGAATTTGGCCCATGTATGACTTAATTGGGAGTCCCATATGGGTATCTGAAGGCAGATTTGGGTTAGACTACTGACTTAGGGTCCAGTCCTGGAAACCTGAGACAGGCAAAATGCCCATTGACTGAGTAGAGACTAAAGGATTGAGCTCATGTTTTCTAAATTGTTTTTAACAGCTTATTTGTGCATTAAATATATTCTATAGACCAAAATAGCTAAAGGATTAAGTCATGGGAAAGAGAAATGAGAGAGAGAGAGAACACACAAAACCCAGCAAATTCTTTCCAACCACCATGATCTAGCTCATTGGTTCTCAAACTTTCGTACTGGTGACCCCTTTCATATAGCAAGCCTCTGAGTGCAACCCCCCATAAAAATTAAAAAACACATTTTTGTATATTTAACACCATTATAAATGCTGGAGGCAAATGTTGGGGTTTGGGGTGGAGGCTGACAGCTTGCGACCCCCCCATGTAATAACCTTGTGACCCCCGAGGGGTCCTGACCCCCAGTTTGAGAACCCCGGAAGCTAGTCCACAGTTTGTGGAACTATGGAGGCAGAAGAGACCCACAGCTGCACCCTTGGCATAAATTCATTACACCTTTGTTTTATCTATTGGAAATACAACATAACTTTTAATTTCAATTCTGGCCTAAATTCATTCTTTTTTTCTTTTTAATTTATCAATATAGAGCCCTACTTCTTGTCACTTAAGAGGGTTAGTGGTGGTTTTTTTTATCCCATCCCTTTTCTTACCATGTTACAATTGTTCAAGAGGCATGAACTAGAAAAAAACATGTGTGACAATGTACAGTGCTACAGGAAAGCTTTGCAGCATTCTTAATTCATTTCCTCTAAAACAGAAAAGTGTGTGATAAACAGGAACTGAAAACAGTCATGTGAGAGTTTCTGAAAATGTGTATGGGGGGCAGGGATTGCCAGGAAAAGAACTGACAAGTAGAAAGAAGGCAATTCAGCCCTGAAGGTCTGATCTTGTAATTCTGTTAAAGTCAATAGAGATTTTTCCTGTTTCAGGACAGCAGAATTGAGCACTTTAAGCCCTGATCCTGGACTGAGCTTTGTGTGCACAGACCCTTACTTCTACATAGGGCCCACTAATTTTAATTCAGTGAGGTTTTCCACAGTTGCAGGACTCTGCCTGCACAAAGCATATTACAGGACAGAGCCCATAGATACAGTCACATTAATGGCAGTAGTTTAGTTGATAGCAAAGCTCGGTCATCAAACATACACTGACACAAATCAGGATGGGGACATGCATTCACATTAGGTCCAGATTAGATGTGGTCCTATTGGAGAAAAATTAAATTGGCAGCCTTTGCCTCAGTGGCTCAGAGGCTTTGACTCACTCCTCTCAAATAAGCATCAGTTAACAGTACTGGAAAATCCTCATGCCTACAATTTATACCTTCTTATATCCTTCTGTTGGATGCTCCTCCAGTTACTACCCTATCATTTACTACCCTGTCATTACCCCCTCAATACATGTATAACACCGACAGACCCTGGTCGTCAGCGAGCAGGATTGAAGCTGGGACCTCCTCTGGAGCTTAGTGCATGAGCCCCTACTGCATGAGCTAAAAGCCACATGGCTGTTAGCTAAGGCTGTAGAGCAGACTCATTATGTCTACGCTACGAAATTAGGTCGAATTTATAGAAGTCGTTTTTTTAGAAATCGGTTTTATATATTCGAGTGTGTTTGTCCCCACAGAAAATGCTCTAAATGCATTAAGTGCATTAACTCAGCGGAGTGCTTCCACAGTACCGAGGCAAGCGTCGACTTCTGGAGTGTTGCACTGTGGGTAGCTATCCCACAGTTCCCGCAGTCTCCGCTGCCCATTGGAATTCTGGGTTGAGATCCCAATGCCTGATGGGGCTAAAATATTGTCGCAGGTGGTTCTGGGTACATATCGTCAGGCCCCCGTTCCCTCCCTCCGTGAAAGAAAGGGCAGACAATCGTTTTGCGCCTTTTTTCTTGAGTTACCTGTGCAGATGCCATACCACGGCCAGCATGGAGCCCGCTCAGGTAACTGTCACCGAATGTCTCCTGGGTGCTGGCAGATGTGGTACTGCATTGCTACACAGCAGCAGCAACCCCTTGCCTTATGGCAGCAGACGGTACAGTAGGACTGGTAGCCGTCATCGTCATGTCCGAGGTGCTCCTGGTCGCCTCTGTGAGGTCGATCAGGAGCGCCTGGGCAGACATGGGCGCAGCGACTAAATTTGGAGTGACTTGATCAGGTCATTCTCTTTAGTCCTGCAGTCAATCCTATTGAACCATCTTATGGTGAGCAGGCAGGTGATACGGATTGCTAGCAGTCCTCTTGTACCATTTTCTGCGGGGCAGGCAAGAGATGAGGATGGCTAGCAGTCCTATTGTACCATCTACTGCTGAGCAGCCATGAGATGTGGATGGCATGCAGTCCTTCTGCACCGTCTGCTGCCAGTCAAAGATGTAAAAGATAGCTGGAGTGTATCAAAACAAGAAATAGACCAGATTTGTTTTGTACTCATTTGCAAACCCCCCCTCCGCCCCCTGTCTAGGGGACTCATTCCTCTATGTCACACTGCAGTCACTCACATAGAAGGTGCAGCGAGGTAAATCTAGCCATGTATCAATCAGAGGCCAGACCAACCTGCTTGTTCCAATAAAAACAATAACTTAGGTGCACCATTTCTTATTGGAACCCTCCGTGAAGTCCTGCCTGAAATACTCCTTGATGTAAAGCCACCCCCTTTGTTGATTTTAACTCCCTGTAAGCCATGTCATCAGTCGCCCCTCCCTGCGTCAGAGCAATGGCAGACAATCGTGCATCTGAGTTGATAGTGCTGTCCAGAGCAGTCACAATGGAGCACTCTGGGATAGCTCCCAGAGGCCAATACCGTCGAATTGTGTCCACAGTACCCCAAATTCGACCCGGCAAGGCCGATTTAAGCGCTAATCCACTTGTCAGGGATGGAGTAAGGAAATCGATTTTAAGAGCCCTTTAATTCGAAATAAAGGGCTTCATCATGTAGACGGGTGCAGGTTTACATCGACTTAACGCTGCTAAATTCGACTTAAAGTCCTAGTGTAGACCAGGGCTCAGTGGTCTCCGTGCCACTAGATGGGACAAAACACCACACACAGGAGGTATGTGGGTTACACATGTTACATCAATTCAAATTCATTGATGCTGGCTTGTCGGTTTACTGAGGTGTCACTATCATCACTTCTGATTACGGCCCTCTGTCTTTATAGTGTTCACCCAGTTTATCCAGGATAGTGTTATTCTGCCAGGGCAAATTTAAATTTAGTGCAAGCAGACACTTAAGTTTTTGGAGCTGTACCCACTTACTCTAGGGTTAAATTTGTCTCCCAGTCACCAACCCGGTCTTCCTTAGCATAGCAGCAAATCCTGTACTAACTGCTGTGTAAAAAGATCTTTTCTTGATCCAGAAGAGAAATTCTCTTGTCTCTACGGTAACCAGGAATGCTTTGGCTCAATGCAGTTTGACCCAGATTGTCAGATCACAGGCCAGGCATGGCTTTTGGCCATGCAATGGCTTTATGGGTGACATCTATCAAGAGCAAAAAAAACTGGGATACCACAAAAACAGCAAGTAAGACCTAAATAATAATACAGTTCTTCGTAGTTCTGCATTGTACTTCATCTGCAATTAGAGAACTAAAGGTTCAAAGTTTGGGTCCCTCCAGGAAAAAAAAATTGATTCTTTTGTTCCCTCTTGAAATTATAAACTTCAGACGACTGTGAGCATTAATTGACAAGGTTTCCCTCTGCCTTTGACACATTTGTGATGTGCCTAGAAAGCTTTGCACTTTCTTTATAAAATAACATAATTAATTTAATGATCATGCATTTTCCCAAAGCATCATGCTTCTCTGTTTTGGTTAATCAGCATTTTGGGGGCACCCGTTTTTAGTTTCTGAATCTTATACCTATCTTAGTAAAATGCTACCTATATTGGATGAGGTTGAAAACAACATTCTTTACCATTTTGGGTTGATTTTCATTTTTTTCTGTTTATGGCTCCTCTTGGATTTATTTGTTGTGAATGTTTCCCTTCTGCAAAGTATTTCTTTCTTCTCTCGCTCTGCAATATTTTCTGAAGCTCCACTTCCTCCAGCCTTTGAACTGGACTGTTGAGAATAGTGAGAAGATTATACTTGTGCACTTCAAAGCACATGAACATTTCTGAGTGAGTTACAGAAATAAACTGATTAGATTAACAGAATGTTGTCAAATAGTGTAAATCCTACATTTAACAGTGTAATAATGATCTTTGGTAACAAATTCCTTCTGTATTTAAAAAAGTATTTATATGTTGTGTGTTTAAATTCATCACTACCTGAATATTAACCATAAAATTAAAAATAAGACAAGTTTAATATTTTTCTGGGCCCATGCAAAAATAATGTATGTGCTCTAGTACTGCCCTGCTGGGTGTGAGGTTGACGTTCACCTTAGACATGCTTCCAGGAGCTGTAAATCTCTTGAACTGATGAGTTACTCTTAAACTAAAAATATCCTTCAAAATCTTAAAAACATTTTATAAAGTATGAACACAAGTGTCTCTGTTAAGATGTGAGTTCATCCTCATGAAAGATTTTCACTATTAATTCAAGTGTAAAGCAAAACAGATTGGTACGGGGGCTGTCCTTTTTACTTGTTTGTAAAGCACTTAGCACAATGGGTCCCTTGACCCTCAACTGTGACTCCTAAGGGCTACTATAATACAAATAATAATTTAAAATGAAAACAGAAAAAAGCACATGCTGGAATAGAGGAATCCAAAGACTATAAAATTCAAGTTACAATAAAGTTAAAGCATGCTTTTCTGGCTAAGCAAATTTTCTGGCCAAATTTCCATGCAATAGGACATGCTTATTTCCATAAAATATGCAAGTCCTGTGCACGAAATGAGCAGCTATTAGCAGTTTGCATATGTACCTGTGTATTTTATATCTATAGTCACCTGTGTGTGCCCACACATGCATATTTTGGGAGAAAAAATTAGGCACTTTTTTGTTAAAGTAGATTAATTCAAGGCTCTCAATAATCTGGGACAGAATAGGATTTATATGTATGCTGGAATAATATGCCCCCTAACCTTCACTCTCCTATTCTTTCGAATTAAAGAGTAATCTTGGAGAACTGTGCCCCTGTTCTGAAATAGGATTCACAACATTACCTTCTGTAGCTGCTCTCCCTGTGAAAAGGATGAAACCAGTGTTTTTAAATTCCCAGTGGTCAAGCCATAGGACACAGTCTTGCTAATATTTTTCATTTTGATAAAAGAAAAGTCACATTTTGACAATGTGCCTTCAATACCAGAATTTTTCTTACAGATGTGCAAGGAAGAGTAAGCAGAGTCGGCCTTCTCCTTTTGCTCAGCAGGTAGAGGAAGGCTTCTGGTTAAACAACACCAAGTTAATTGAGGCTCAGCATTTAGTGATGGAAAGGAGCCCTTTGTGCTTGAGATCCTTGAGTTTCCCGAGAGACAAGTCAAACTGATTTGGGACAGTGCAGGGAGTTCCTTATGTTGAGTACTGAGGGTGTGGCAATAAAACGTGCCAAAGGAATGGCAAAAATAATTTGAATTGTCCATTGAACACACAGAATACTGTAAATCCTGCAACCCTGGTGAAGTGTCCTTAAGGATGCTTGAAGAGCTACCATCTGTGTCCCATCCCATGATTGTCTGTTCAGTGTCCCCGCTAGAGGTTGCCCCTTTGCCTGATGAAGATGTCATTATTAAAGAGTTATTTCCTGAGTGAAGGTGGCGTAAGACCTGATTCTCTCCTTTGATGTCGGCAGATATGAAAAAGCCACCTGTGTACATAGAAGTAAAGCATACTTTCTTCTCTGTGGTTTGTGCAGAGCAACCAGTTGTACTTATCCACTTCTCGTCTGCTTGCATTCGATCACTTAAGTTATCTTTATTCTTAGTCTCTTTCCAGGTGTCTTTGATTATTTCCTTCTGCCTGCAGCTTTGGTTCTGAAAGCTGTCATCTATCTTGGTTGGGATGTTAGTTGTTCTTGAGTTGACTGATGAACAAGGTACCAGAGCCTTCCAGTTTGTATGTACACCCCATCTGAGCCCTACTGCTTTGGCCTGGTGTCTCAGTTCAAATTCTAAAGGGGACAAAAACACATCACCAGAATCAACACTGACTGTCCTACTGTTGATAGTGCAGGAAGTTTTGGTTATCGGAACTGGTAGAGAAATACCAGGCATGCTTTCCTGCCCTGGTTCCACTAAAAGTGACAGGTCTGTAGTACTCTCTTCTTGCGGTAATTTAAGGATGTACTTTGGAGAAAATGCATTTTTCTTCAGAGGTGGAGTTACCTGACCAAACTCCAGATTTTGAGTAGTGGAAGATATGCCAGCATCATCACCGCTATGCAGTGACACTCTTGCTCCTGCTGTCACAGGACATGTTTTGACTCCTGTATCTGTCACCTTACTTAAGGCAAAAGAACTACAATTATCTCTCTTTAACTCAGGCACCAGAAATTCAGAAAGTGAAGCTGTTGAGACCTTTGCTGATTGTGGAAGAAGGTTAGCAGTATTATCACTATCATATATGGGTTCTATGTGGAGTTTCATTGTTTTCTCATATTCCATGTCTTCAGCACTGCTGATTGATTCATTCATGTCTGTGCTTGAATTCTGCTCTCCGTCTTTAGCTGACTGTTTAACTAATGCTAGGGAGATGGCATGTACACTATAACAGTCTATCAATTTCACTGTTTCACCTACTGTGTTATTTTCACTACCGGAGCTGGGACTGGATTTTAGAGTTGCATTATCTCTGCTCTTCAGCTCATCGACTTTCAGTTTTTTTCTCTCTGATGGTAGCTTTTGGAATTCCTGTGTAGATTCACCACTGCTGCAGTTGTGTGCCCTTAAGGCCATCTGTGCATGTTGAGAAGTTTCTTTACTATTAAAAATATTTTCACTATCTAATATGAGGGTATTGGATTCGCTCCCAGGATGTGACTCTTCCAATTGACTATTATGCATTTGCAGACTATCAGTGTTCAGCATGTTAGAGTTTAATTGACTAGCTCTCTGCTTAAGTTGAAGCCTCGTTTCATGACTGCTTACAGCCAGTAACATGTTGTTGCCACCTGTATATTTATCTGAACTATGTTTGTTGCTGCAGCCATGTTTTGGGGAAGTTTTGCATATTACACTCTGTTCACCAGCATTTACTGAATGTGCCATTTCCATTAGTTCTGTAAATCTGCCTGCATTCTCTTCTGAGGAGACACCATGCAGTACACGATTACCAATGGGACAGGTTTTTGATTTCACAGTGTTTAATTCTGTGTTAGAAATGGTCACAGGGGAGGAAAGATTCCCGCTTAAAGAGCTCCTCCCATCTTTTGGCTGAATAACTCCATCACCACTGGCTGCTTCCTTTGGATCAGGGGTGAAGCCTATATTGTCTGTTGCCTTTTCCCCCCTTTGATTCAGTTTCTTGGCAGTTTGACTGCTTTTCATTTTTTGGTAGATTTTCTTGAATGTTTCGTCACCATACATCTGCCATTTTTCCTGAGAGAACATTTTTAATTTCCTTTGAGTTGACTTCTTACATTTAGCGTTCACTCCTTCTCCCCCAGCTCCAGGCTTTTTAGTTTCTTTCATCTCCTCAAAGGGAGAATAATCATAGACTGCATTACTTAGTGGCAAATCATCCACTGCTGTTTGTCTGACAAGTGCACGGGGATGGCTGTTAGGAAAATCCACTGAACTTGTAGCAAGGTTGTTGCTATGCAACAAACTAGAAGAGCTTGTATTCAGGGGCTGCCTAGTGAGAGATGGTAGATTTGAGCTACCCACTCTGTCATGTGCCATTCTTGTGCTCTCTACAAATGGCAAAGAGTTGCTTCTTGTGACAGGCACACAGTCTATTGTTGTCGAGAATTGCGTGGGGACTGAATGAAAAAACAATGGCTTGGATTTTTCTATGGGTGTAAAGGTAGATTTTGCTGAACAAAGGGAAAGATTCTTTTTCCTGTTTACATCAAGAGATCTGATGTCAAAATGGAAGGAGTCTTTGTATGTGTAAGGCATTGGCAGATCAATACTGCCCTGCTTGGAAAGCACGGTTTTTCTGGGTCTAACGTTGTCTAATTGGGTATCATCCACCACAGCTTTGTTATGAGAGATCAGTTTTGAGATATGCTCTTCCAGCTTCTTTTTCTCTAGCATCAAGGCTGTTGCTTTCTCAGCTGAATCCAGTTTTGCACTACTTCCTGCCATGCACCTTAAGCCACTGAAGGCAGTTTCATTTTCCAGCTCTGTGCTTTGTTCACAAAGACTATGCAGGGGGCTGGAGGTCAGCATCTGTTGTTCTGTACTATCAGAGCGTGACAGATATCCAGAATCAGTGCTCTCACACTTCTTCAGCTTATAGTCAGATGGTTTGCAGTCCCATTGCTTATCTGAATAAGTTGCTTGCTGCCTTTGCAACTGAATATGTTTATTTGCTGTTGAGAATCTTTGCTCCTGTATCATCTTTCTCTGGTGTACACTGTCTGGCAAAACTACTAGAGAAGATAGGTTTTGGGGATCTTGCATTGGTTCTCTTTCAGAAGCACCCTGACTTGCCTCTGGCCAATAGGAATCATCAGTTGTTATTTTCTGACTTTCTGATGTAAGCGATAAAGCGTTCAGTGTTGGCAGTGAAATAATGGATGGAAATTTTTTAGTGTCCACTGTGGTACTGGTTTCTGAAATTATTTGTTTAATCCCTGGCCCCTGCTTTTCACAGACATTGTTGTCTCGTTTTGCACCCCGATGTGACATGATGCTGTCTGTTGCCTTCTCATTCTCCTCTATTATGCCACTGTTGTCAGACCCTGAGGGCAGCTTGGTATTGTTGACATGTGTTTGGGTTCTTCTGTGTTTATACAAATTGCTTTGAGTTTTAAATGCAATACCACAGGTGGTGCAGGGAAAGGGCCTCTCACCTGTGTGTGAGCGAATATGTTTCTCAAGGACACTTGGCTTCAGGCAATCTCGTCCACAGTGTTTACAGATGTACTTCCCGGCGTTTTTGAATTTCCCTGGGCTTCCAACAGGTGCATTTGAACAGGAACTTGATGGTAAAACCGGTGAACTAACTATGTTTAATGTCAAAGTTTGCCCTGCTTGTTTCTGAGCAACTGACTGAAGCTGATCTGTCCTCTCTGAATGCAGAAGTGGATTTAGGATTAAAGGCATATTACTGCTGTCTAGATTTATGCTGCTTCCACCAGCTGCTAACTGGTTGTTTGATTGATAGCATCCTGACTGGATAGGATGATACAGTGGTATGGTAAGGGCTTTCAGGTATATAGTCTGAGACAGGGCTTGTTCCTGCTGAAAAATCACAGGACTCTGTCTGATACTTGATGAACCCTGTGCAGCCTGAAGAGATGAGACTTTAACTGGTTGATCAGCTAGTGCAACTGTGGAATGGGGTTGCCTCTGTGCCTCCATTTCAAAGGTTATATGTTATCCAGTTCAGTTATCTATGGGAAACAAATACAACATAGTTATGTTTGAAATGAAAAACCATGATTTTCTTCAGCTGTTTATTATGCCATATAAATTCGGCATCTACTATACTAGTAGATGCAAAATTTAATTATATTTCTATAAGGTCTTCCATACTGAAGAATATCAAAACTTTTTATACAAACTTTACATGTACAGAAATCAGTTTATTCACTACTAAAATAGTGTCACCTCTGGTTTGTTGGATGGAAGCTAACAAAACACAGGAACATTACACAAAAGTTTAGTATAGTGCAAAGGAGACCTACTGCTAAAGACTCCTTTTAAAATCTATCCTGAAGTGGTACTCAGATATTAAAAATCTTAGTCTTCAAACTGACATCAAAGCACTTTCATAATATTGAAAATGGTATAGGATAGGATACAGTGTATAGTACAGTAATATAGAATTACTTTGCATTAGTCTGATGTTATATCTTTGTCCAAATTACTTTCTAGATGAGCAGCTTTCAGTGCTCCCAAAGATTCATGATTAACTTATTCTCACTGAACAGTATGCTTAATAAAATACAATGTTAAACTTTGTAGGCCAAGTCTTCATCAGGACACTCTTGTGCGCGCTTGATTTACACATGTACAACTGCCAACATGGTACAAATGCACAGTGGCACACACAACTGCACTTTTGAAGATCAGTCTTCAGAAAAAAAATAACAAAGCTTGGACATTTAATCAGATATAAAATATAAATGATTGTAATTAATGCAGTAACTAAAGGATACAAATATACCCTGTTTAAAATAAAACACATGCCTAATGAAGCTTTGACAAGAGGCAGTGTAGCCTGTTAGTTACAACTGCAGATTGGGAATCAGAACTTCTGTATTGTATTCCCCACTCCTCCGTTCATTTGTGTTGTGACCCTAATCACACCAGTTCTGATAGTACCCACTGAAGTCAGTGATATGTTTTCCATTTACTTTAATGGGTATTCTATCAGAACCTTAGTGCCTAAATTTACACATCTGTAAAATGGATTTAACAATTAATTACTCACAAACTTCTGATGAAGTGAGCTGTAGCTCACGAAAGCTCATGCTCAAATAAATTGGTTAGTCTCTAAGGTGCCACAAGTCCTCCTAAACTTCACATAGATGTTGAGAACTAGGGCTTTGAGATTTTCAGATGGAAGATGCTATACAACTGACAAATTCATTATATATCTATCACTCTCAATATAGTTTTAAATAAATAAGTTTAATTTGTTGACACCATATATTGTGTTAGTTCTGTCTTTTGAAACTAATCTGGAAGCCACTGATGTTTGGAAAAAAAAACATAATTAGAGTTTAATGTAGCATTTTAACAAGAATTGAGTGTGAGTCACATAATCCCATATCTAATACCCCTACCATTTCGGAAAGTTCATATCCAACTTTGGTTACAGTCAGGTCCCTCTCTAATTATAACAAGTCTCTGTTTCTAAAATAAACATTCCTTAAAAAGAGCTGGTGTCTAGATCTACTCTCCAGTGTGAGACAATACAAAGTAATGGATGCACTGCAGTTTAATCTGCATTTGATACTTTTAACTACAGCTGATGCAGACAGGCCACAATTACAAGGAAATTTGCACAGACAGTTATTAAAGAGTCACTGCTACAAACAATGAGTGTTATGCATGGCCCCCATACAATGACCTTGTTTAAGTGAGGCTGAAGACACTGTCAGAATTAAACAAGGAATCAAAATGTGAAAACAAAATGAAACTGTAGATTTAAAAGGTTCCTTTTTTTACTATCCAAATTTATATATGTAAAAGATATAACAGATGTTAGAGGTCACACTGTTGGAGGCAAAAAGTGGAGATAGCTTACAAAGTTGTCTTTGTATGTGCTGAATGAATTAGAGACACCATGATGACATGTTGCCTTGTGTTTTATATATATATATAGAGAGAGAGAGAGAGAGAGAGAGAGAATAGCTGGGCAAAAATTATGTAGGTACAGCTTGCACACTCGAAAAGGATGCTACCCTTTAAGAAAATGTGTCCCAATATACTTGTTTTGGTTCAAGATTTGGTTATCAGGTTCAGAGCAATTTTTATTTTCACAAACCTGATTTGGCTAGCCTTGGTGGTTTGTTCTCTCCCCTCCTCCCCTTCCTAAAAGTAAAAACAAGTTGGAAAGCCATAAAAATAAGTTACTTTAAAATTACCATTAGGAAGAGCAGAAATAGCAGGATAATATCAGCATAATCTATCATAAATAGAGCCTGACTAAACAGTAGAAAACTTCTTGTGAAAATTCATTCAAATTGTGATTCATCTATGTTCACAACCCTTTCGTGTTTAGTTTTTCTGAATATTCAAATACTTAGGTTTACTAGAGCAAATAGTCGCAAAAAGCACATTTTTTTAATAACAGTCAACAGTGACATTTGAAATGTGCACTGTGTTGGCTTCTCACATAATTCACTGTTACAGTTTCTGCTACCTAATTGGATGATCTATGTAGCGAACTGTCACAGAATAAACAGAAAATATTGTAATCGAATATAACAATCTGAATTTTGAAACTATGCCATGTGACTTGTATAGCTAACCCATACAGCATGCATTGCAGGTATTCACAACAAACTCTTTGTAAGATATACTCTCTGAAGAAATTTGTGAATAATGTTAAATAATTACATTAGAGGACTTTTCAATCTATTTGCAGACAATTCATGATCAGGAAAAATGGCAGTGCTTCTGAACTAAATTAGTTGATCTGAATTATTCACTCAATTGCAGTTGGAATAGCTGATAAACCAAAGATCCGATAGTGGTTCAGCCACTATGTTGACTGAGAAAGTTAGCACAGGACTCAATTGAGCTAATATATCACATGAACAAATGGAGAAGTTGTGGGAATAACCCTGTATGTGCGATCAGGTGGAACTAGTCACAGTTCACAAACATGCTAGGGCTACTTGCTCAATCATAATGAAATCCATGATGAAATTCTAGGCTGTAGACTAGGAATAAGGGTCAAGACTACAAATTAAAAATAGGAGTTCTGAGGTAGCATGAATAAAACTAAAAGAGCCTCTAGAGACCCCTCTATGCTATGATATTGAACCACAACAGCAGCATAGCCCTCTATAAAGGTCAGCCATCTATAAAGGTACAGCTACATCAAGTCAGTCATAGCCCATGGAACAAACTGTACTTCTCCACTTGAGCAAAGGGGGACCAATCAATCTGCCTCAGTTCCTTAGCAGATACAAATTACTTCCCTCACCCCTGCACCAGCTCAGCTCCACTGGTTAGCAAATTGGGGAGGAGTAGGCAGAAACAAGGAGTGGAGTAGAAGCCCCAAAGCACCTTCTCTCTCCTTCGCCCATCTGGGAGGTTGCATTGGCAGGGAGGGAGTCTTGCTTCCCTTTTCACACTTGCACAGTCATGTAAGGCTGGGCCACATTCTGACCCAAAGTAGACACACATCTGATAATGGGCATGGTGCATATGAACTTGTCTTGCTGTATGGTGTACCTCTACTTAAGGAAGTTCTTGTGTTACACAGGAAGTCAGACTAGATGATCACAGTGGTCCCTTCTGGCCTTAGAATCTGTGAAAACCCAACATTTGACATGAGTCAACGCAGAATACATTGACGTACCCTGCCCTTTCACCTCCTTCCCATGGCCAATGCTTTTGTGTGTTTAAACCCACCTGCCAGGCATGAATTTCACTTTTCCGTGTTAGAGGTTTGTATAAGGAGCAATCATTCTGTGGTATGGTGTTTTACAGAAATGGGAAGTAGAACAAACTGTACCCAGCCCCACTGCAATATGAGGTAACAAAGCAAAGACATAATAATTTCCAAGTAAGACTGTGCCTTTCTATAAGAATGACCAATCCGACTGGCTGTTTTCATGATATCCTCGGATTTATCAAAACATTTATTAAAAAGATCATTACTCTGAAATACCCAACTGCACTATAGAATAGCAACTTATTTGTTAGTGTGCAAAATAATGGGACAGTGGATACACATATCTAGTAGTTCAGTTTTTATGCAGCAATATGCCTATAATAATCATTTCACTGGTAGGTAGATGACATGATACCCCAGAAATACGCCAGATAGGTAAATTAAATAAATGAATAGCTACCGCAGAAAGATAGACAATAAGAGGTTTACATTTTCAGAAAAATGTCTGTGTGACTAATTTTCACTGTACACAGTTACCATGAAAAGTTTGTGGAGGATATTTTCCTGAGAATAGCCCCAATACTTTGCAATGTAATAAAAAGGAAAAGTCAGACATCTCCTGTTTCTTTTTTTAAGGCCATGTCTACACTACCCCCCAGAGTGTAGCAGGTAGTGATCTATCGGGGATCGCTCTGCAGTCGACTCCGGAACTCCACCACAGCGAGAGGCGGAAGCGGAGTCGACGGGGGAGCAGCGGCCATCGATCCCATGCCGCGAGGACGCGAAGTAAGTGATTCTAAGTTGATCTAGGATACGTTGACTTCAGTTACGCTATTCTCGTAGCTGAAGTTGCGTATCTTAGATCGATTACCCCCGCAGTGTAGACCAGGCCTAAGACGAGCATTAATCATCAGCTATATGGTCACAATATAATTTTTGGGAAAGTTTTAAGTAATGCTAAACTTTTGAATTAAATGGTAACACACATGCAGCTTAACTGATGCATGTATAGTTAAGTGACATTATTTCTATTCAATTCTGGCAGTTCTCTGTTTTTCGTACCAATTGATGTTATCTTTCTTCCTAGGTGATGTCCTGTGTTGCTTACATTTTAGTGTGGTGCATAAGATCTCACTTTTCATGTCTTTATAGTATAAAGATACTTCTACAGAAAAAAAACACAATATTCTTTTGCACATAGGCTGTGCTGCTGCAGCAACAGTTTATCACAATCTCATTGTAACTCAAGGTTAATTCTAGATAGTCTTTATCTAATATAGCAAATCAATTTTTACAAAAAGCATCCAATCCTGAAAA